GTCTACCTCGGTCTACCTTGGCCCGGGTCCATGTACCTCCATCTACAAGGTAGACAGACGGTAGACTCAGGTGAGCCAGGTGGGTGTACACAACATGGACTTGGGTAGCCAGATAGTTCGGTCTACCCTCTGTCTATGGGCTAAGCGCAGTGCGGGTGAAAATACTGTTGTGTAACAGAATATTTCCTTACTTAGTTTCTGCGGGAAACGGAATGGTCGGAGGCCTACACAAACCCTCTGTGGAATCCGGAATGCGTCAGACAATTGGACCCTGTGTAGGTCGGTCTATGTTATGGAATATTTGCAGGCCATCGAATATCCGGAGCACAAACATTTTTCAGAAAATTACAAGAAGAGTAGCAAATGATGTGGTCGATTTGAGGGCACTCCGGTCCGTAGGCCCGGGATATCATAGCGCAAATTCCACAGACAACTTGGAAGCAAATGTGGCATAGGTAGTGCTCGGGGAATCGCGAGGAAGCGGGAATGAGGACGCAGCGAGCGGCTAGGAGATTCGTCCGGGTGTTGTGAAATTCGAATGAGCGTCAAATCACTCAAATGAGCGTTGAGACTCTAAAATCACACATGTGCATTCCCAAACCTCCACTGTCGCGTTGGTGGCGGTGGCCGACCGGTTGTAACTACATTTTCACATGCTCCGATGGTCCCCCCGCCATCCAATTTGACCTGTACTATTTTGCAAATTTTACAGGGAGCTCGGACGGAGGTCCCAGATTTAATTTACGTATTTTACCTAGTAATTTACCTGTAAAATTGGGTCCATGTAAATTACATCGGTTTTTTTACGGAGCGCCAGTTGAGACACACCGGCCAATTTAAAGGACTTGCAGCTGGGCATTCAAAAGTGCAGTACTACTATATCACGCTGGGATCCTGGCCACCTAAGGGGTTTTGGGCCGATTTCGATCTTCCACCCGGGCTTTTGCCAGGTTCGTGGGCCCTAGTCAATAGGCGCGCAACCTGCGAAGAGAATGAGCATATTTTTGATAATTTTGGTTTTGAGTGTCCAAGGAATTTAATTTTCAAGTATTTCCTGAAAAGGTAATTGACATGGATCCTGGCCACCCTCATAAGCCCATTGTTGGCGGTGAATGAGGGCCCACACCGTTTACCGTAGTGCATATGGGATTCATATAATGTATTTCGGGCACTTATATCATACATTGGGCCTCGCAAAAGTGGAGTAGCGAAGACATTTTAGTATGATTTTACAAAGGGCCTCGGCGGCGGAATCCATACTGTCATCTAAATTGGGCTGGTGTGCCAGTGGTAAGACTCTGTAGGCCTAAATAAGTTATAGGGAGGTTCATTGGAACCCAATGGACCCACTTGAATGCATATCTCTACTTGCAAGGTGTACTGTTGAGAACCCGACATTTAATCTTTCTTCCAGCATCGAATGGGTGATTTTCTATCTGCATTCATATTAGGAGGGAGGCGGAAGCATTCAAGTGTTATATCATGGAGGATATGCACACCTTACCTATCATAATGGATGCTGCAAGGTGTTGGAATTATAGTCCTGAAGAGGCCATCGGTATCTCGAATTTAAGAGTGTGACCGTTGAGTTTCTGTTCCAATTGTGTTTGTGAATTTGATCACAGAGAGCAAGTCCTCGGGCAGATATTACATACTCAGAAGGAAGCCCCATGATCGAGCAGAAAAATGTGTCCCCAAGGTCCCGGATCCCCGGCGTATTGGTTGGGAAACAGGCGAAACAGTCGCTCGGGGTTATCAAATTGGCGTTCTCACCCTCCGGACCGCAATCAATCCGGGCACAGCTTTGGATCAACTTATCACTTTCGGTCAAGGGGTACCCGCAACAAAAATCCGGTACACTGGGTACAAAAAGTGAATTAACGACCGCCAGACCCACCCACCCTATTAGCCGAGGTTAGCCGAGCCTAAGCGAGCCGAATCGGGTAATTTTCTCACGGAATTGGACCCCAAGCCACCCCAAACCTAGCATCTTCACAACCAGTTTCAGCCCTCTCGCAGATACGGCACAGTTCTGGCTCTCATTATCAATGTCGCCCAGTCCAGAAATGTGGCCTGAAAAACCTGATTTTTCTTCGACCTTCTCAAACACAATTTCCCAGCGTCCTGAGCAAATTCCAAAAAGTGAATTAAGAGACCTTGGGCCCACCCTACCCTATTAGCCGGTATCTCGGCATCTTCCGACGGGTACCCCTTGCTTTTGGTTGAAATTTGGTCTCAAGGTGCGCAATGGGTCATATTCCATCATGCAAGTACAAAGGGGAGATATTATATGCTCCAGTGTATTATACTTGACCTGTGGCCGGCTTCCTAGTGTGGCCAGGATCCTAGTCACTGATAGTAGTGTATGTGTTTGTTTGATTCTACTCAAACTAGGGCTGGCTTAGCGGCAGTAGCACCATGGCCACGCGACGACAACATATTGATGCCAGGAGCAGGGGCAGGGGCAGGGGCCCCAAACGCAAACACAAACGGAGTGTTTGCAACAGATGACGTCCACACCGAGGTGTGCTCTCGGCGCGCGCACGCGGCCCCCAGGGCCAGGATGAGGAGCGTCCCGGTGTACGCTAGCACTAAGTAGATTCACATGAGCACCTAAATACAATCACTGGCTGGTGTTCACGTACATAGAATCCAGTTCAAAAACGCGAACGCTTCCAGCGCGGGGATCTCATGGCATGCGGGTGAGGGGATGTCGACGACGATCTCAGGCTTGTCTTCGATCAAACCGACACGGGCCTGGACTCCGCAGCTGAACTTACCCCCTACTGAGTTTGCCCAGGTGGCGAGCCACAGGATGGAGAGGGAAACTAAGTAAGTAAGTAGAAGATGAGGTCAGTTAGAGGGTGGGAAACAAACACGGGATGGAACGCGGGGTCGGCTCTCACTCACAAAGCCATGGGATTTCGACAATGATCATGGAGAGGGGGCCGCTGGGGCGAAGAATCTCGAGGCCGATCCTGGGATACAGGTACAGGTGAGTGAGGCACAATATATAATATAATCTTGTAGTCGATGCGTATGCGGACGGAACAAACATACTTACATGGCCGGGAGAGTGAGCAAGGTCAGTGCCGCGGAGGTGATTGCCAGAACGGCATACGGAAGGTAGACACTGGTTGCGGTCAACGCCGCTGCTAGTCCTATGTCGATTAAGGCAAAGATTATTGCAGTCGCTGCAGCAGTGCATCTCTAGGTCAGATCCGACGGATTAAACTTAGTGAGTGTGAGACGACTAACATAACACGACGACGCGGATGAAGGGGAGCGGGAGGGCCATCGGCTGCGCACGGACGGGTGGTGGGACGAGGGGGTGCCAGGATGGCCATTAAGTATTTGTAGACTTGAACGTCACGTAATTCTAATCAAAGTACTTACTGTCGAACCGGTCCGCAGCAGTCCGCAGAAGTACGCAGCGGGCACGCACACCGGTTCAATACAAATCGTATCAGCCATCAACTGCGCTGCCGCTGCGGTGGCCCAGGACCCCCGTAAGTGATGGGAGGGGTCGCAGCAACAGGAGGCGTGGATATCTGGGCGTGGATCCAGAAGGATATGAGGGATTGTGACCGGGGGCGTTCGATGACGGTAGTCTGCAGGTACCAGACTCTCGGGCATTGGGGCGTATCGGGGAATGTTTCTGCTTGTACGACCTCGCTGTGAGCTGAAGAGGAAGGAAGTTGATATGGAAAAGGAGTGTCAGTGTAGCACTGGTCGCCCTGCCCCAGCTCACCGGTGTGCTCGTCCTGTTGTTATAATTGATCATGAGGCTCGTAGTGGATGGTTGACTGTAATGAACGAAATGGCTTACATCGAATTCGCTTCCGTTGAACTCGTCCGACCGTGGCATAGACGAGGTGGGAAGATCAACGTGTTAGCGGACAAATGTTGGGGTGGAAAGGTGTTCAACAGTATGGGTGCCTAGGAGCAGAAACCGGGATTTCCTGAGTGAAGATAATCATAGTAACGGAAGGACTTGGGTGGTGAAAAAAAGTCGGGGAAGGGGGGTGCTTCTTACCCTTATATATGGCAACTGTGCCAATTTAGTGGTCCATTCTGATGGGGCCTGTTTATGCTCCTCCATTTTTATCCGACCTGACTTCCAAAGCTAGTTTTTCTGCCTATTCAGTCCTCCTCTGACAAAATTCCACAGCTGTCTAGCACTCCACAATCCTCATTTCTCAACATGACTTTGCAATGGTCCGCTATTTTGGACAATTCAACAGACGCCCGGGTCACCAGCCTGAGCCACGAAAGCTCCCTTTTTCCGAGACTATCAGCGACAGCAGAGGAGTGAGCGTGCGCGCATGCCTTAGATGTGATTCCAACCGGGTCGGTGTAATCAATCATGTCGTTCAGATCTTTGCTGCGGATAGCGCAGGCTTTCTTTTCCTATTGGTCACCTGCCCATTTTAAAAAGGAAAGATCTAGAGGGATCGCCCAAATTCCGAGGAGTCATTAGTCATCTGATGAGGACCTTGGGTTTATGAATCTTCGAAGCTCAGCGCTGCCAAAGAATGGAATTCTTTGAAGGCCAATTTAATTCTACATCAACCGATGAACTTCGGACTTAGACATCGCGTACTTTACCTGCTCCGCACTGCGACGTGTTGCCAAAGTCGAAGGGTTGATCCAATGTCGTGCTCAACAATGTAATTGCACTGACTTCACTGTTCACATTGACATTCACAATTCAAATACAGTACTCGGTTTTTCAGTATACTTATGTGCTTGAAATTAGGGCGACTTGAACCGCAGAGTCTCCCATGGGTTTTTTGTAGCCATGGTAGCGGGCTACATAGCACAATATATTTCCCATGCCAAACAATCTTGTTGTACATAGTTCCCGCAGAGAACTATATTGGCTACAGGGACTATATAATGTCTTGCCAAGCTACCCCCACTATAGCAGCTACCAATCACTGTATAATTAACCAGGCAACTATGACCACAGGACCTTTTCCTGATGTTGGGGTAGAACCGGCCGTCTAACTCAGTTGGTTAGAGCGTCGTGATAAGAACGCGAAGGGTTGGGTTCGACTCCCACCATGGCCACTTCCAGTCTGTTTCCTGTTCTTATTTGAAAGACGGACGTACGGAACCGCTGGTGTTCCTTCCTTGCATTTTAGAACTCTGACTCGAATCGGTGAGTGAAATCCCGCGCGCGTGGGACGACAGAATGCTCTCTGCAATAATTTAGAAGAATTCATAGTAAAGGAAAGCCTGATGAAGCGCTTCATCAGGCTGAAAAGAATCAAAGCTTCACGTTCACACTTGAACGTGAAGCTCGGATTCTTGTCACTGTGAACGTGAAGCTCTGATTCTTGTCAAGTGTGAACGTGAAGCTTTGATTCTTGTCAGCGCCTTGGAGAGAGAGAACGAATATCGTTGGAGAAGCCGTTGCAAGGAAATCGAAAGGGAATATTCCGTCATTCGCGTCGTTCGCACTACACGTATTTAAGTTGGAGTCAAGTTCACAAGTTGTCGTCTTTTTATTGACAAATACGGTCCACGATTAATTTTTTGAACGGCGTAGTAATGTGATGGTTTCGGTGAAAGAAGAGTATAGATTGGCCCCGAGGTTGAGCGAAAATGTCGAGCGGAGTCTGGAATTTATTTATTTATTCCAACGAACGGAAGAATTGAGCAGCCCTAACAATTAAAGAATAGACGGATGCACTGTGCAGGGGGAAACTTTAATTTATTCCAACGAACGGGAAGCTCTAACACATTATCAACAAACCGAGCTACCAAGTGAAGCGTCTGTCTACGAGACTATGATGTGATGCATTTTGCAGGGGGAAACTTTAATTTTAATTTTTTTATGTAAACGCCTTTGCTTTGCCTGGACTGTCCAGAGCGAGTTACAGTTTACCTGTTAGAGTTCCCCGAGGCGTGCAGCCCTGAAGCGCGAAGAAATCGAACTCCGAAGAAGAAGTCCAAAGCGGCAACCCCTTCTCCCTCCCTTGCCCACCCGACTCCCCGACGCCGACTTGCGGCCTGGCGCGGTGTAAGAAACTCCACGCTAAATAACACAAACTTTCTAACATGTTATTAACGTGCTAATATCATTTCTCACATCCGAGGTTCCGGGATGCCTGTAATTACTATGTTAGAAACACCCCCTCCCCAAAACAGTTTCAAGTACCGGAATATTCAGTGTCGTCTGGGTCGGGGCCGGTTTTTGACGTTGATTTTCCGACCAGGAACAGGCTCGAAATAGCTTGGAAACACCGCGAAAAAAACGGCCTGTAGGCTAAGCGTGATTATGTCATGTTGCCAAGAAGCCTGTAATTCACATGCCCTTGACAGCAGCCTGGTTTGAATCTCACGTTAGAAACAGTTATTCAGATCACCGAATTTGATTCTTAGCTAGATTTGCGCGATGCGTACCCCTACCCCTACCCCTAACCCACGTCGCCCACGTGTCGCGGATCAAAGGCCCGACCGCTGACGTGCACGGTGCTAACCGCATCGGGCGCGGTGGATCTTGCCTCTACCCCCCGCTATCGCTACTCATCGCTTCAGTCTCCGTCTCATCTCTGGTTCAATTTCTTGCTTGCTTTATCTCATCTCATCTCATCTCATCTACTTCTACGTCTACGCTTACCAACGGATTACGATTGTTACGGACTTTTGGAATTGGGATTCTATTGTTATCGCGCTGATCACCACACTACACCACCTAATTTCGCCTTGACTCGAGTCGGACTCGACTCGACAGCCTCGCATTCATACGCCCATTCACCAACGTTCACGGCGATACCTCATTGCATCATCATTGTCACAAACCTTGCCTCCGATCTCGGTGACTTGCTTGCATTCCACACGTCGCACACCCGTTTCATTTCATTTCCTTTCGTGGAGGACGACCAACGCAACACACCTATGCCGTCCCCCGTCCCCGTCCCCGTCCCCGCCCCGCTCACGAAGCGCCAGCGCCAGGCCCTGCGCCGCGCAGGCGCCGCTTCCGCTTCGCCTAGCACGTCGCCCGCGTCCGCGCCCTCCGACGCGCCGTCCCCGGCATCCCTGCCGTCGCCCCCCCACCCCCAGCCGGCCGCAGCGGCCCCGCCCGACGCGCGGAGCGCCGCGGTGCGCAGGGCGCGGCTCCAGGCGCGCGAGACGGAGGAGGCGGGGCTGCAGCGCGAGAAGGAGCGCGCGCGGCAGCACCATCTGGAGGAGGAGGAGCGCGCGTCGCCGAGCAAGTACCCCACGCCGCTGCCGGACGAGGAGGACTCGGACGGGGGGATGGGGGGGACTGTGACGCATGCGTATCACGGCGTCGTGGGGGTGATGGAGGACGAGTTTGTTGGGGGGCTTGGAGGGGAGGAGGGCGAGGGGGGGCCCCTCGTCGACTTTGACGCGCCGCTCGTCGATCTGCGGGATGAGCCCGTGCTGCCGATTGCGGAGGCGCTGCTTGTGGAGCCGAGCGAGGCCGTGTCGCCGCCGAAGCGCAAGGAAAGGCGCGTGGACCGGGACGCGACGATCCGCGCGGCGTCGCGGCCGCGGGCGCCGGTGGCTGGGGGCGGTGCTGGGGAAGCGGAGGGACGCCGGGAGAGGGAGCGCGATGGACAGCCGGTGCAGAGCCACCTGCGCGCGCCGGAGGTGCCGCGGTACGTCCCGTCCCTCCTTGACCAAATATGCGAATGCGCGCTGATGTACATGCGGTGGGCAGGCCCCCGCGCGCGCTCTCCGCGCTCTCGCACACGCGCCGCGCGCGCGAGGCCGTCACGTCGGCGTACTCGACCGCGTCGGCCGCGTACACGACCGCGGCGACCGTCTACTCGTCGTTCGCGCCCGCGCCGGGGCGGCGGGCGTCGGCGGCGATGCACGTTTCGGAGCAGCACGCGTATCTGGGGGGCGGGGGCGTAGGAGGGCCAGGGCCGGGCGGGGGGAGCGACGAGGAGGAGGACGCGATCGTGGGGGCGCGGTGGGATGAGGTCGAGGTCGAGGTGGATGGGTGCGTGGTCTTTCTTTTTCGTTTCCTTGTTTGCTTCCGGGGCGGCAATGACGTGTTTGGCGGGATGGGTTACGTATCAGGCGCAGGAGATGGGCGTTGTCTTTCTCTTGCCTCTTGGCTGCATCCTCGCTGGTCGCATCGATACCCCGCCCCTTTCCTTTTCGCGCGCCTCCCGTCCTTTGTCGTGCGATAGGCCGGCTCCCGTCGATGGAGCACGCGTCGATGACGTGCTAGGTGGGATGTTTTTGCGTACCAGCCGTCGAGGAGCCCTAGCCCCAGCTGACCGAGCTATCACGCTCGGTATTGGATCCCGAGTCTTTGTGTCGCGTCTCCCAGCTTGGCTAAGGCCATGTCGTCCTTGTGCGCGCCGACTTTTTCCTTTCCCTCTCTTTCTCCTTCTCTTCCTCCGTCCCTCCCCCTTATCGAACTTACTAACCCCTCCTCTCCAGATCCACCCCACCCACCCGCTCCCCCACGCGCACGACCCGTCGCCTGCTCACGCTCACGTACGCGTCCGGCGTGCAGGTGTGGGACGCGAGCGCGCTCGGCGGCGTGAGCGAGGTGCTCAATCTGCGCATACCGCCGTCGTCTCCTGCGGCGAGTGCGGCGGACAATACGGACACGGATACGGAAGGAGCGGCGCTGCACGGCCCGATCGTGCAGGCGGGCGTGCTGCCGCCGCTGCCGCGCGAGGGCGGGCTGGAGCTGGGGATTTTGTGCGTATCTCATTTAATTATTAATGTAATTCGCGTTTGCTGACTGCTGCGCTCCAGGACGCCGCACGCGCTGTACGTGTACGCGCTCGGGCGCGGGCGCGTCGTCGCGCGGTTCGCGGTCCCCGCCGCTGCGCCAACGTCTGCACCTGAGACTGGATACGCGTATGGCGGGACCGCGGGGGGACAGGAAGGGACTGGGAGGCCGTGCGCGTTCGAGGCGGCGGGGCGGGTGGTGGTTTTGGTACGTGGGATTCTGTTTCTTCTCGTTCTTTGTTCGCGTTCTTTCTGGACTTGGGCGGTGTGAGCCAGGATCTGAGCGTTGGAGGGTTCCCTGCTTGCTTTCCTTTCCACCTCCACATTTTAAAGTCTTGACGAGCACTCTGACCGAGCTTCTATTCACAGGCCACACACTCCCCACCCGCGCTCATCATCCTCGCGCGCCCGTCCCTCCAGATCCTGCACGTCATCCCCGCAGGCGCGCTCGCGGTCCCGCCGCCGCCCAACCTGTCCAACAACGTCTCGCCCTCCTCCTCCTACGGAAACCGCGCATCCTCCAGCGGCACATCGCCGTCCACTTCCCCACCGCACTCCGATCCGCACACGCCCCCCTCCCCGCCGACCCCGCCCGGAACCCCGACATTCGCTCTCCACGGGCGCCTCCTCGCCTTCCTCACGCCCCCGCCCGCCGCACCCCCGCCCGCGGCGGACGGCACCCGCGCGGAGACGTGGGGCCGCGCCCTCGGCGGCACGCTCGGCCGCTTCTTCTCGCGCTCCGCGCCCGCGGCGAGCGCGCTGCTCTTCAACACCGTCGGCACGCCCGGCGGCCCGGGCGCCGCGGCGCTCGCGTCCATCTCGAGCGCGCTGTCCGCGAGCGGGGGCGGCGCAGGCGCGTGGGTGCGCGTCGTCGACCTGCGCCCGCTGGAGCACGACGACGGCGGGGTGGCGGACGTGCACGCGTTCCAGGCGGGGCGCGCGGCGGCGGGCGCGCTCGCGTTCTCGGCGGACGGGACGCGGCTGGTCGTCGTGCGGCGGGACGGGCTGGGCGCGGGCGTGTGGGGCGTGCGGCCGGGCGCGCCGGGCGTTGCAGTCGAAGGTGGCGGGGCCGCGGCGCCGGCGCAGCTGTACGAGCTGCGCCGCGGGCGCACGGGCGCGGTCGTCGAGGCCGTGGCGGGCGCGCGGGACGGGCGCTTCGTCGCGCTCGCGACGCGGCGGCGCACGGTGCACGTCTTTGCAGTCAACCCGTACGGCGGGCGCGCGGATGCGCGGAGCCATCTTGGGACGCGCGTTCGGGACGGCGTCGGCGTTGGCGCGGGCGGTGTGGTCGGCGCGGAGCCCGTGACGGAGGTGCATCCGCTCGTGCGCATGCGGCTGCCGCCGCC